GTAGTTTATGTTAGCTAGTTTTGACTTGGTGTAAGGGTTGACACTGATACAGGACGTGATGCTTGTGGAGGATTTTGAACTGAACATGTGTGGGTTTTGTCAGCAGCTATGATGTTTCTACAAACTGATCCGACTGAACGTCTGCTCACCGACAGACGCTCAGAGGAGCTTCTAGTCTCCATCGGGTCAAACCGCTTCAGTGATCATTTATAGTAACTGATTGATTGATAAATACTCGTTTATCATCAATAATCTGCTTCGCTGTGTTGATCAGAGCTGCTGAAGCGTTTTGTCGGCTGAGATGTGGTCAGTGAGTCCACAGCTTCAGTGTGAAGCTCTACCGCAGTAACACGACGACCTGGGCAGGTGTGCTGCTGTCAATCACAGCTGTTGCTATGGTAACGGTAAACAGACAACAGTGTGTGTTCGTCCTTCACACCGCTGGCCCTCCCTGTCTGTGTTCATATATTCATGTCTGTGTCTCTGCATGTGCAGGTCGAGGTGGAAACAGGCTGGTTTCTACCTGAACTCTTTTTGTAATTAATCAAACACGAGAATAAAATGCAAACATGCAGGAAGCAGCTCATCGTCCGGCGTGTTCAGGATTTGTGAGCGAAACGTCTCATAACTGAGAAGAAGACAGAATCACAGTGAAACCCGTTTGCTAATTAGTGCGACTCATAAACCATAAAATAGTCGTTTACAGCCGCTCTGAGCCCGAAAGAGAAACGAGAAGAAACGAGTTCAGCTGTGGTTCAGATAAAATGCAAATGTTGTAAATCAACTCACACAAAGCAGCTCAAGTGTCAGAACAGACAGAAGAGGAATTATGTGAAACAACGAATAAAAGCAGAATGTAAACTCACAGCAGCACTGAGCAGACTGAAGGCAGATCAGCAGAACTTAGAAATAAACAAGAAGCTCAAGTGGTGCTGCTGGTCCGGTACAGGTCTGGACCGTTCAGAACAGGTTAGAACTTTGTGTAGATTTAAATTTAATTTAAAAACAAAAAACAAAAAACGCTTTTGCCGTATTTTCTTGATTTTTGCTCAGTTGTGTTGCGTTGC